CTTCTTGTTTTGTAAATAGAAAAGTCCATTTCGAAAACTGCCCCTATATGGTCTCTCTATGAGTAAGTCCCTTGTCATCAACATTCTACTTGATTGTGATATTCGTTAACTTATCTTCCTGGTTTAGATGTGTATTTATATGTATTATTTGATTCTAAGAAGCCATCTTTCTTTTAGGCATTTGAGGAAAACTCTGCCTCAACAATCTAAGGTGTCGTATATTGCCAAAATCATGTGTATGATGAAGTGATAATATTTACTAATAGTGTGCTGCATAGTCGGATTGTATACTTTGGTGGGTGGGACTTTAAACTGGTGAAAATATCCCACAAAGATTTCTTCATCATGAAAATCAAGCGGATGCATAATCTTTTTTGGGGCTCTTGAGTGATCATCCATGGATTTTTAAAGTTAGATAATGATGGATATTTCTTGATTGTAGATACAGGAGAAATTTCATGTCATATATTAGTGCACTTGAGTTAAGAAATGTTTAATAGCTGTATGTGTTGCAGCTCTTGATAATCACATACAAAAGCATCAAAGATAAGGGACAAGAAAAATTGACCAAGACTTCATTATTGCCCTTTCGTTGAACTGCAAAAGTAAACCTCCTTTTTCAAAATGCAATAATCTCTGTCTCATTCTTCCTGAGTTTCTGTATTCTCTGAAAATATTTATGAAATTGCATTGTGGAACATGTAGCATGAAGCATTTTTCGTTCTTTTACCAAATGGTAACTTGTTGTTTGTCGTGTGTTGTATTATACACATGGTTCCCGTACGCTCTGGCGTTATATATATATATATATATATATATATATATATATATTATCTCCATTCTTTATGAACTGGCACACTGATCCTGCATCCAAAGTCCAAACCATACGCATGCTTGTGAAATTGTGGCATTCAAACGAAAAGACAGTTTAGATATGCTTGTATACAGTACTATCCCGGGTATCCCCAAATTGTTTTTGTTGAGTTACTTCAAATTTTTTTGTTCTAGATCATCTCCATATGGGAATATTTCTTTTGTAAAGAGCCATGTCCGTAGCATAACATAGCTTTTATGTGATTGTGGTACATATTAGAATCTGATAAGGACTTTTGTGTCTTTCAGTGACTCAATGTAGAGTCTAGGAATTCTTGTGAGCTGATTATTGTACATCGTGGTAATTAGAACTTCAATACTTGCATTATGGGTGTTTAGTTGGCCCTTAAACTCGCTTTCGCTGTTGAGAGATTCTGATAGTATCTGGTGAGAATTGATTCTTCTTAAGGAAACTGGTAAAATCACAGTTAGTTGAGAGAAGACAGAATTGAATATTCTAAATACAAATTTTCCTCAACAAGAATTTCCTATGTTAAGGTTATATCATGAATATGTTATTTCTGAACTACAAGTACAAAAATTTGATAAGATGTCAATTATTCCAAGTGTAGAAAAGAGGTTTTGCTTGAGATTAAACCTTTCTCACTTCGCAATAGACTTTTTGGTTGAGGTTGATTTACAATAACCACAAGACAGTGGGAGGATTGCTTGGTTTGACATTGGGAAAATATAATTGTTATGTGAATGAGTGAGAGAGAGATGTCATTTGCACGTGTTGGGCCTAGGGGTCGAAAGGTGTAAACGAGTAGAGCCGAGCTCAAGCCTTTAATGAGCTTATAAAAAATTATCTTTTCGAGCCTTATCAAGCTGAGCTCGTAACCAAAAGAGCTTTAAATGACTTCGACACAGCTCGTTTGAGCCGAGCTCGGCTTGTTTAATTTAACAACATTAGTTCTAAATGGTCAAAATGGTGAAGGTTGGTTAAGGTTCGTAGCACATGTAATGACAATGAACAATTAGACTAGTCAATCTGTCATTTTTTTTTTAATATAATATACATACTTGTGCTATGAAATATTAAATATTTGTTTGTGTTGTTTTTAGAATATGATATTTTAATTTGAAAGTATATATATTTGGTGAAAAAATACGATTGCCTAACCACTTGCCTGATATAAGTCGATATGTCTTACTGTTTCTTTCGTTTTTAGGTTTGTTTAAGAACAACTGAACAAGTCCAATGCTACTCTCGATTACAACTTTACTTCAGAGTTGTGTGAAAAACTCGCTTCATGCTACATTTCGCACTACTCTGAAGATATGAATAGTATCGTACTACATGTAGCGTGACACTGTTCATCGGGCTACAATTATTTTTTTCAAATTTTAATTTTTATAATTAATTTTTATTCTATATATTATTTTGACAAAGTATACATTACTAAGATTATTTATTATGTTAAATAATTCTAAATTTTAATTTTTATTATTGTATTTAATTTTCTTTCGTATTAATATATTTCATATAGAGTAAAATATAGCGCGAACGAGAGAAGTTAAATTTTAGCATTTTCTACTCTAGAGTATAATAAACTCTACACTAGATTAGAACACAAGATTGGGAATGAATGATCCATTTATTCTATTTAAAGAACCCTTTTTAAGCTTCTACAATGCTGCTTGTGCTTCCTTAAATCTTCCTATGAATGAAGGAAAATATTCTAACACATTAGCATCTTGATTTTAATTTTTCATTTTCTCTTAAAAAACCTTAAAATTTCAAAAGTTTAATCTTAATGCAAATATCATTTGATTCTTCGAGTCCCTACCATCCTAATTAAAATGATGAAAGGAGCTAACTAATGTGCATAACTTTTGTACGTGCTCATAAAATCATCACTATTTTCATATTTCTTTTTTTGGGTATGTTTTTTGTCTTTATTTTTCGAATAAAAATCACTCAATCATGGAAGCATTCTCCCGTCACAAATTCCACACGGCCGAAAAAAAACTCTCGAACAATTAACAAACCTAAAACTGTTTTGGTATAAAATATCCCTAATCATTGTAAAACCACTCTACAGCAGGCAAGTGAAGGAAAGGTCACCATGGGTGGTAAAAATGTAGCAAAATATTCTTATTCTTTTTCAGATTTTTCTATTTTTTTCCTGAATAAGGAACCATTTCTCCCTCACTTGTGGAGAATGAAGCACATCACCAAATGCTGATACACAGTATTGTACCTATGAGTTCTCAGTTTGCCTATGGGCACACACGGGGCACGTGTAAAAGATTGTTTGCCCTTCATCAGCAGATCTTATCTGAACGGCAAGGAGAAAAGAAAAACTTGTTACAATAAATAAATTAAACTAGAAAAAGGAAAAGAAAAACTTGTTACAATAAGTTTGATTTCACACACACATTGTATATAGATATGCAAAAATGCCAAGATTTTACCTGTCTAGCAACGTAAGCCATGCCAAGATGTTGGCACGCTCTGCACTTTGCGTTATAATCCTGCATGATCAGAAGAGAACGTAGCATAAGAAATATAAAATAATAAGTTTTATTTAAAAGGAAAAAAAAAAAAAAGTCACCAAATAAACAAAAGTATGTTTAATGATTGTGACCATTTGTTTTAGTTCCCTCTCTTCTTCAATATCGTCGAGTGAAGATATTCCGAGCTCTCGCCTCATATCCTGCAAAAAGATATATATTTCAAGTATCATTTTAATGCGAAACTGATTTGAGAGAATAAGCCAAGGCAGGGACACATAATATATTTATCATTTGAAGATGCACATGATTTATGCATCTGAGGACTGAGGTACTGTCGAGCTAAACAAATATGTATAGTTTGTAAATAAGACAATGATGAACGAGGATCATTTCTCTTCTTGTTTCGTAATAATATCTTAAAAGAAAAACGCAGTCTTATTGAACTCAAGACTGCCACACAATTTTACCTTTTTTTAACTGAAAAATAATATGGTATACAAACCGCTAAAACGTGAATCTTTAGACATAAACTTGCTACCAGAGCATAGGAGAACAAATCCAGCCAAAAGCAAAACAATATCATACCTCAGCACTGATAGTATATTTGATCTCTTTTCCAGCTATTTCTGAAGTTTAAAAAGAAAACAAATCACTAATTAAAAATCCCAAATCAACGACCAAAAAGAGCAACACACTATTCAAGAAGGCAAACACATTGATGCAGAAGCTGATTCTGTCATTCCAATTCAAGTTGTTAAACAAAACGAGCCACTCGTGAGTTATGCTTTGATCAGCTTAAGTCAGTTCGTCAAGGCTCAAGCTCGGCTCAATCAAACAAGCCAAGCTCAAGCTCGTTCAGTTAACGAGACGAGGCCAGCTCGATAAGTTAAGGCTCGAGAATAGGGGATTTTACGTAATTTTTTGAATTTTTACCTTAGCTCGGCTTGTTAAAGGTCAAGTTCTCGATTATATTGATAAGTGAGCTTAGTTCACCTTAGCTCAGCTCATTTACACCTCTAAGTTCAATGCAGGATCCATATTTTGCTGTAAATTGAATCATAAATCAATCCAATTTGTAAAACAGAGTGTGAAGACCCACAAAAAGAGTATTTTTCTGAGATTAACCCATTAGTTCTGTACTTAGACCCACAGAGATTGCTTATCCAAAATATCATAAGAAGTCAGCTAAAAGAATAGCTTAAACAACAGTCTCAACGTTGAGCTCCAAACTAATCACACGAGTCTAGTAAGGTGAAATGACCAACCCATGTAAGAACTCGTCATATTCATGAACTTTAACATCCCCAAATCCATAAAGAAATAAAACAGATAGCCGAGACATCAAAATGAAATATTTTCGCAAGAAAATGGGAAGAAAAACCTTACCTTTGAGTCGTTTCTTGAATTTGCACAGCGGGCATCGAGCATACTTCGTGGAATCGAAAGACAACATCGTCCCGCACATCTCGCAGAACATGAAATCACGATTACGGCTGTAGGACATGATTTTGACCTACGTAGAAGTTTTCCTGTCTTCAGCTTGCTAATTCGGTAATTTCCAGTCGCATGGGTAGGAAGCTCGGGCTCTAAACCCCAATGGAAATTAGGGTTTAAGGTTAGGGCTTTTTTTTAGCATAAACGTTAAATCAACACACTCACAAATACGTGAATGTGTGTGTTATCCAACAATTAAGAAAAAAACTCGATGAACACCACCACCAATTGGACACATTAGTATCAACTAAAATGAAAACCAACTCAATTTGTCAAACTTGTCCACCATCATCTTATAAAGTAAGCATTGATTAATGGTTACATTGTTATATTTTTTAAAATAATAAATATACATTCTTTCATGTTAAATGTTATACTTTAGAATTCAATGCAAATAAAAGTACAATATTTTATAATATAAATAGATTTTTTATAAGAAAAAAGGGTTTAGAACCCAAACGATGCTAAAAGAGTTTAAGGCGGACCAGCTCCTGTGGTATGGAAGATCCACTTCTCGGATTCCACTTAGTACATTCTAAATATAGTTTTTTTGGAAAAGTATAGTTGTCTAACGTTTGACAGCAGGACTGAGTATTTAGTCGTCTAACATTAAACAATCGTGTATAAATTATTTAATATAAAAAAATTTTGTTTTGATTGAATTTTTGGTTTAGGTTGGTTAAATTTGAAAAAGTTGGTATGGTTAGTTGTTAGTGGATATATTTTAGTGGATATATTAAAGTAATATTTAAAATAAAATAATTAAAATTAAATTGATGTAAAAGTAAGAGAGACAAGATGTGATGTGATGGTTAGTTAAAATTATATGAGTTGATGTTGTGTGTAGGAATGGTCTATTGATATTATTTTAGGGAAATTTTCACCTTTACTACTCGTTTTTTAAATATTTGCACATTTACCACTCCTACCAATTAAATTGTGTTTATACCTAAAAAATAAAAAGTTATTAAAGTCATGCCTAATATCAGTTACACGATATGGAACAAACTTTCCATGTTTCTAGCCCATAATTTCAGCTCTCAATCTTGGAAGGATATCAGTTAGATATCATATTTCAAACTTTCCATGTTTCATTATCACATCTCATATATAGTCGTAGTGCTGCTATTGAACAGGTGAAAATATATGTGCAGTATATTTTGGTATTTGTTCATGGAAATAAACTGCGTAGTTTTAATATATTTGGTTTATGTTCAGCAGTTGATTTTTATTGTGCAGCATAAGTATATTTTTAGTTTATGTTCAGTATATTTTTAGATTTTTATTGTGCAGCATAAGTATATTTTTAGTTTATGAACCACATCAAACAAAGACTTGGATCCGGATCGGGCCTGGAGTTGCTGCTCCCGCACGGCGATCTTCTCAGGCCGGTGAAGGCTGACGAGGAAGGCGGTTGAATCAACAAGGACAAAAGAAAAAAAAAATCAAAAATAAATAAGAAAAATTAACAAGAATTAAAACTGGAGCTTCAAGGGATTCTATCATTGAGCAGAAAAAGGCAAACAAGACAAAGGGAAGAGGGGATTGAAATGGCGCAAGCTGCAAACTAAGCCCCGACCACCACGAGGGCGGAGATCTGAGCCCGCCGCCAGGCCCGGCCTTCACTCCGTCCGAAATCCCAGAGACCGCCATGGCGACATAGATTTTGGGAGAAGCGCCATCAACGACCGGCATGGATCCTCAGGCCTGATAGAATTGATGTCGCGGAAGCATCGAGAATCGAGCATCATGTAAATCTAGAGAGAGGTGGGGTTTAGCGGAGAGAAAACAAGGTTTGGAGAAGAGAAAGATATGAGGGGAGACGATAGATCGGGCTTGGCGAGAAAGCAAGATCTGGAGAGGAGAGAGATGAAGAGAGACGATGGATAGAATTTGGCGAGCAAAAACAAGATCTGGAGAGAGATATGAGGGGAGTTACCATGTAAATAGGAATGAGAAGTTATCATGTAAATAAGAAATCAGATTTTTAGGCATATATGCAAATAAATATAACATATTTAGTTATTTTGTAAATAATTATATAGAAGATGTAATTATGTAATATTTTCAGATTTTCCAAGTGGAGGATGTAAATTCCTCATTATTTAATTATATTGATAATATTGATGATAGTGGTTGAATTAAAATTGAATTAAAAAAAATGATTGATTTAAAAATGATTAAATTTTTTAAATTAAATTTGTATCCAAACATGCTCTTCGTTATCTGTACAACTAGAGCACTTGTGCATCTTCGAAGATGTGGGATGAAAATTCAAACTACTGGAGACTGGGTTTAATGCACCAAACCCCCCTGTATTATACTAAATCTGCGCCTTTCCCCCCTCTAATATAAAAATTGCGTCGGACCCCCTTCTATTAACGGTTGACGAGCTGACGCTCCCCAAGTTATGTTTGAGTGTTAACCCCGTTAATGTTTTTGTAAACTTCCCGTTATGCCCTCTTTTATATTTTATATTATACAATTTGAACCAGAAACATAATTTCTCTCTCTCTCTTCGCGATCGTCACTTTTCCTTCGAACAATTGAAGCTCCACACCCTAAATTCATATCAAAATTGAAGCCCCGCACCCTAAATTCATATGAAAATTGAAGCCCGTCACTCTAAATTCAGATCGTTTGAGGAGTTGCACCCAATTGCATCTCTGAAATTCGACAATTTAGGGTTCTAACTTGCGGAGAATTTCATCTTGAAGACATATAAGGTATTATTCGAATCTGGTATATAGTTATAGTCGTTTAATTCGTTATGTTATAGTCAATTTATATAGTGAATTTTGAAATTAGGGTTTTCAGTTCTCGTGACTTCGTGCTTCTGAGATGAAATTGGGCGAAATACGATAGCTTCAGTTTTCAGTTTTCGTGCTTCGTGCTTCAGTTTTCAGTTTTATCTGATTAATTAGGGATTTTGATTTTGGAAATTAGGGATTATGATTTTTGAAATTAGGGCTTTTTGATTTTGAAGGTCTGTCTTATTTAATTGTGTTTCTGAAATGATATTGGTTGTTTATCTATTTGGAAAACTAGGGCTTTTCGATTTTAAGATTAGGGTTATTTGTTTGTGCTTCTGATTTTGAAATTAGGTTTGAAACTTAGGGCTTTTTGATTTTGTAATCAGGCTTAATTATATATAGGGCTTTTATGTAATATTGTGCTTCGGATTTAGAATTTAGGGTTTTCATATTTTGAAATCAGGGCTTTTTTTGTTTTATGCTATTATATTTGGGAATTAGGGATTTTATGTAATTTTTGTGCTTCTGAATAGGGTTATTATTCGAGTTGGGAAATAGGGTTATTATTGCTCTGAATCATATGTTGTGTTCTAAATTGTGATTCTGAATTGTGTTATTGTGTTCTAAATTATATTGTTTGTTTGCAGAAAATGGTTGTTGTATTTGATGTTAGAGTTGGGGGAGAGATAGTATGGTTGCCTTTTAGGCGATACTTTGGTGGCCAAAGAGTTGCAGTTGACTGGTACGATGTTGATAGGTTATCCATTTTTGAAATCATGGATGTCTATAGGAGAGCAGGTGGCAAAGCATCTGCAGTTGATATTTTTTCACACAAGCCTGGAAAGACTCTTCAAACATCAAAGAAGTTGCTGAAGATTGATTCTGACAAAGATATTTTGAAGTTGGTGAAGCATTATGCAGGGCAGCTGGTTATACCACTTTACTTTGAAGATTTGCAAGGCCCTATACAAAGAATGGACCCAGAAGGCAATGTGATGTCTTCACAAGAAGAGCCCCTCCTTATTGAATATCCATTTATTGAAGAGCCCCAAGAATCACCACACCATGAATCACCACACCAAGATGATTTGCAATCAAATAAAGAAGCTGAAACACATAATGGTGCTTCAGAGGTGGATCCTACAGAAACAAATGATGGTACTGGTGAGGTGGATTCTACACAAAGAGATGATGGTGCTGGTGAGGTGGATGGTGCTGGTGTTGCTGCTTGTGAAGCCACAGTTAATGGTGCTGTACAAAGAGATGATGGTGCTGGTGAGGTGGATGGTGCTGGTGCTGCTGCTTGTGAAGCCACAGTTGATGGTGATGTCCACAGAGATGAGACAACCAGTGCTGGTGCAAGACCCTGTTCACATGATGAAGGAGAATCCCAAACAGTTGGCCATGAGGAGGACCATCTTCATGAGGAGGCAGAACAACAATTTGAAGATGAAGTGGCAGAACAACAATTTGAAGATGAAGTTGCAGAACAACAATTTGGAGATTCAGAGGATTCAGAGGATTCAGAGTATGAACCTCAAGAAGACAGTGGTGATGGTGATTCCTCAGATTTATCTGAATGGGAATTGGAGGATTTAGAAGGCCCTGATGATGATGATATATTCCAACAGAGAGAACATGATCATGCTAAGAAGGTACACAAGAGGGCAAGAGAATGGCTGAAACAAAGAAAGAAGCAGAAAAAGAAGGCTAGAAAAGAAGCTGGTGCTGCAAGAAGGTCTACAACAGAAGATTGGTACAGTGACCCTGAGGATGATGACAACTGCTTTGGAGAGCCTGATGAATGGATTAATGGTACTGACATGTCAAGGTTTGAGTTGAAGGTTGGTCAAAAATATGAATGCAGAGCAACATTTAAGGAGGTGATTAGAGATTGGTCTGTTAGAAAGGGATATGATTTGAAGTTCCCAAAAAATGAAGCCAAGCTTATCACAGCAAAATGTAAGAGTGGGTGTGACTGGTTCTTGAGGGCCTCAGTTATTGGAGGTTTGTCCACATTTCAAATCAAGACATTGAAAGGCACACACTCATGTGCTTACAGGACAGAGAACACACAAGCAGACTACAAGTATCTTGGAAAAAGAATGCTAGATACTTTGAGGGACAATCCTACTGAGAGTCTGCCAAGTCTGAAAAACAAAATCAAGAGGCATTGTGGGGTTGAGGTTAGTTTGCACAAGGCATACAGGGCCAAGGTGTATGCTCTTTCTTTGTTGAAGGTTGACTATGGGGAACAATATAAGAGGCTATATGACTACTGCTCCACAGTGGCCAAGTACAATCCTGGTAGCTCTCTTATCCTCAAGTTGAACAATGATTTTTCACCTCCAAAGTTCATGAGGATGTATGTTTGCCTAAGTGCAATGAGGCAGGCATTTTTAACTGGCTGTAGGCCAATTATAGGGCTTGATGGATGCTTTCTGAAGACTCTTCATGGTGGTCAACTTCTTTCAGCAGTTGGTAGAGATGGAAATGACAATATGCTACCAATTGCAATGGCATATGTAGAAGTTGAGAAGACTGATTCTTGGAGGTGGTTCCTTGAAAGGTTAATGAGGGATATAGACCCTTACAAGGAGAAAAAATGGACTTTTGTTTCAGATAGACAAAAGGGTTTGCTTGAAGCTGTGAGTGAAATTGAGGGGGCAGAGCACAGATATTGCTTGAAGCACATGTACAACAATTTTAAGCAGAAGTGGGGGGATCTAGAATTGAGGAAATGGTTTTGGAAGGCAGCCAGCACATACAATGTCAAGGAGCATCTCAGGTGCATGAGTCAAATTCAAAAGCTTATTCCTAAGAAGGATGGCAAGGTATTTTTCTCCTTACAAAAACTTGTTGTAATTTTCTCATTACATACCTGCTGTGTAATGTGAATACCTTTGGGTCTGAATATAAGAGTGTGTTCATTTTATGGTTTTGTTCTGAATAACCTGCTATATATTTGGTGTAGGTATTTTAATTTAAAAAGGACAGTAGGTATTTTTTACTTTTTGTTCATGCTTTGAACAATGTTTTGTGTTCATCTTTGAACAATACTTTACTGTAGGTATTTTGTACTTTGAGATTTTAAATAACATCTCATTGTCTCAATTTATATTAATATAATGAGATTTTGTACTTTGCTGTAGGAAACTCCATTTGAATGGTTGAAGGCTGTCCCTGAAGAACACTGGGCAAGGTGTTTCTTTTCTCCTAATGCAGTGTGTGATGTGATAGTTAATAATCTTTCAGAGTCCTTCAACAACTACATTTTGGAAGCCAGGGATATGGCTATTGTGGACATGTTTGAGTGGATCAGAAGAAGATTGATGGCAAGGATCCAGGTGAAGAAAGCTGGAATAGAAAAATACAGAGAGGACATTTGTCCTAATACAGTGAGAAAAATTGAAGAGCAAAGGGAAATCAGTAGAAATTGTTTCCCTACTTGGGCTGGAGAAGACAAATATGAGGTGGTTCATGGAGTAAGCAGCCATATAGTCCAATTGGAAGCAAGAAGGTGCACATGTGGTATGTTTCAAGTGGTTGGCTACCCCTGCTGCCATGCACTGGCATGTATCTCTTATCATAGGTTCAGTGTATCTGATTATGTGTCTGATTTTTTCAAAAAGGACATGTATATCAGGATGTATAGCCATATGATCTTCCCAGTTCCAGGGATGAATGATTATGAGGAGTCTGGAATGGGTCCAATTCAACCGCCTGATTCTGTGAAAAAAAGGGGTAGGCCAACAAAGAAAAGAAGAGCTGACGCTAATGACATGAGACCAATGGCAACAAACAGTAGCAGAAAGGGGCTTATCAAGAGATGCACTTTATGTGGTGGAAACAATCACAATAAGAGAAGGTGCCCCAAAAGAGGAGGTGAAGGTGAACAGGTCAGTCAATTTTTAAAATTTTTCAAACTTCCAATATTGTTATTTCAACAATCATATTTGTGTTTTTTAAACACTGTGACATGATTTTGTTTTGTTTTTGTTTGCTTTTTTTTTTGGGCAGGCATCTCGGCCACAACCACAACCACAACCATCTCAGCCACAACCACAACCATCTCAGCCACAACCACAACCATCTCAGCCACAACCACAACCATCTCAGCAATCTCAGTCGTCTCAGCCATCTGAGCCTCCCATGCCATCTTTTGAAGATTTTATTCAGTGCTCTAGCCCTCAAACCTTCACTCAACAAAGCAGGGAATATGGTGGTGATTGGTGATTTCATGGTGTGTTATTTGATGTGATGATGGTTAGACTTTGTGTTTGTGATGATGACAGTTATGCTTTGTGTTTGTGATGATGACAGTTATGACAATATTTTGGTGTTTGTATGTTGGTTAGACTTTGTGTTTGTGATGATGACAGTTATGACAATATTTTGGTGTTTATGGATATTGAAGTATAATTTATGGTGATGACCCTATTGCTTTGAATGCTATTGACAGTATTTGTGGCTATTGATAGTAATGTTTTCAATGATAGTTTTTTTTGCTATTTGTGGCTATTGATTGTAGTGATAACAGTGTTTTGAATGTTACATTGTTGGAGATAGATGTGGTGAGAGTGGAGTTGCTGGAATATTGAATTACTGCATTTCATTGATGATAATAAAGGCATACATTGTCCAAATGATTACATTAATTATCATCTAAAATTACTTGAGAACAATAACAGCCAAAAGGATTACAATAACCAAAAAAAACAATCCATTGCTAAATTTTTTCTCAATTTTCTCCATCTTTGACTGCACCTCCTTCAGCATTATTGCGACCTCTACATTTTCATTTGTTAGCTTTGCTCCGGTTGACTGTACTTCATCATCATCGTCTTCATAACAAACTTCATCTTCATGGATTTCATTTGACTTCACCCAATTCACTGAGACAGGTTTAAGCCAAGCAAAGAAACGACATTTGTTGTACGGGCAATTGCAAAATAGTTTGCCAACAGTTTCTTTTGTAGGACCAACGACCCGAATGCGAGCAAATGTGTTGCAACCACACTTAGGGTGCTTATACCTTAGATCCAAACTCTCATTCTTTGACATCTTTGATTTTTGGGAAGTAGACATATTCAACCTGCCAAAAAAAATAAATAAAAAAAAACATAAAAAATAACAAAAAAACCGAAATAAATATTTATAAAAACCTGTTGTATAATTTATTTTAAAAAAAAAAATTAAAAAAACAAATGTGTTGTATTTTTTGGTCTAAAGAAGGCGTGAAGTAAAAAACAAAAAAAATTAGTTGTATTTTTTCGACCTAAAGAAAAAATAAAATAAAAAAATGAAGAAGGCGTGCAGTTAAAAAAAAAAAAAAAAGCTCATACCTGTGCGTCGCCCATCAGTGAGGAAGGAGGAAGAAGTAAAACAAAAATTGGAGGGTGAAATGAATGTGTTGTGCAATTCGGCCGAAAGAAAAAAAAAATGAAGAAGGCGTACCTTTTCTGTGAGCTGCGCGATGGTGTGAGGTGGGGAAGAAGGTGAGTATTTTAAATGGCTGATTTCAAGGGTAAAAGAGTAACTTCCGCGACTTTAGGGTGAAAAACTGAAGGAAAAGCCGCACACGACGCGCGTGCTGTGCACTTCCGTCATCTTAGACGGTTTAGGGTATTGCGCGCATGCAAAACCTTAATAGAAGGGAGTCCGACGCAATTTTTATATTAGAGGGGGAAAGGCGCAGATTTAGTATAATACAGGAGGATTTGGCGCATTAAACCCACTGGGGACTTGACCCCTAAACTTTATTATATATTTTTTGTTTATAAACATTGTGGCGTTAATAGGATAGGTCCAAACCACAAGGAAAAACAGACCTAACTGAAAAGGAATACACAAGAAATATATGGTCATGCTATTATACATAAAATGAATCAATTAGAAGTTTTAGAACTAAGTACTAGAAATTTTGGCTTTCACACAGAGTTTAAGAAACTAGATTACACTCCGAGATAAAACATCATTAGTCAGCAGACAAATTCCAAAGACTCCCAAAAAATGTAGGTCTCCCTCCAAAAGAAGCAAAACCTAAAATATTCTCTACCATTACACCTCAATATGGCACAGTGAAAGGCAAAGCATAAACATCAACTTCACGCAAATACTCTGCACGGGGCCACAATCCCAAACTTCTCGAGCAAGAAGATAAAACTTCATTTCCGTATCTCGGTTTCTTCTCAGCTCGTATTTCTTGATTGTGTTGACTATTGCCCTTGAGAAGCCAATCCAAATCCTCTGAACAAAGCCATGATTCTTGAACCTGCGGTGGGAAAAAGTCCCCAAATAGATTTTGGTACTCCAAATCCATATTTTGAACGGAACTCAAAACTGCTTCTGACTTAGCAATGTTGGTTCTAATTTTTTCAGCCTCAATCTGCCCGGAAGTCGAACAGATCTGTTCCCCGTTATTTTTGGCATTGGGTTCACGGCAGTTACTTCTGGTCGGAAAATTTTCCGGCAAATCTTTCACATGATTAGCATCTCCAGTTTTGGATCTTCCGGATGTCGAGCAAGGCTGTTGTCCCTGGACTAACTCATCAAGCTCATTCTGCTTCCTTGACGGCAGTCGTATCAAGATGACTTTGCCTGTTTCATAATAACAAGGCTAAATTAGAAACACAATATTACTAGGAACAATTACAGAAAGTACCCTTGAAGTGCTCAATTTTTTTTTTAATTTTTTTTGCTTTACGGAAAAGGAAAAGCCATGTAAGAAATTACAAAATACCCCTATTCAAGCTGCAATTACCAAGAGAAATAAACGGTAGGATTGTACGTGGATTTTATTTTATTTTATTTTTATTTTTTGTTTGTATTTATACTTCCTTCAGGGGTAGTTTCAGTAATTAACCTAAAATATCATAGTCTCTGAAAGTACCCTGACTGTTTGTATCCTCTTCAGGCGGTGACTGCCTCTTCCTTTTCTTGCTGTTCTCTGTGCTCTCAGAAGAAGAGCTTGGAATGAACAAACTTGAAGGAAGTGCATGTTCCTCCGTGAGACTGCTTTGTGCTGATTGGTTATTTTCAGCTTCTCTTTTCTTTTGAACACACTCTATTTTTCTATGGGAAAAGCTCTTTGGGCTGATATCATGCTGTACCTGAATACTTGACTTGTCGGCACTACTGAGAAGCTTCTGAATATCTGACTCACATGGATTCCGATTTGTCTTTTCTTTCTTCTCTTTCTTTCTCTCTTTCCTCTCCTTTTTTTTCGCCTTCTTCTCCTTCCTTCTCTCTTTCTTCTCTTTCCTCTCCAGCTTCCTTTCTTTCTCCTTTTGGAGCTTTTGAGCACCACATTAAGAGTTTTAGAATAGGGGGCGGGTACAAGAAAATGTAACCCTCAACATAATACTTTGATCATGAGCCCACGGTGTGGCAGTTAGAATCAAATAAGACGATGAGTTTGTACAACACCATAAAGACTCGAAACACATTACTAACAAATTGTCAAAATAAACATTTGGACCACACGCAAGTCTCAAGGATAGAAAAATATTACTTAGTAACAGAAAATATTTGACATTCGACCATAAACATTTATAAAATTTGCACCCATAAAAGCAGAGTTTCCACTTGCATCTCCTCCCATCATAAGTACAGATGGGGAACGTTCATCAGTCTTAATCAATTACTACCAATCACAAATACCTTACTAAAAATTGTTAAAGATGACCTACAACATATTAACCCAGGCAAATAGTTATTCAATCATCATGTCAACAGTTTAACAGAAATTTAGCTGGTACGCAGAAAAACAATTCATCAAGCCATGAACATACAGACCTACTCGCCTGCAGCAATGAAGATTTTGTTTGCCCTTCTTTATGGGTTCATTTAGAACATGAAAACCACTCGGACAACATTTCTAATGGTCATGGTAGACATGCAATGACCTACGCATAACTTATATCACACTCTCGACACGTGTATAATTGACGAGCCTTAAGTAGGTGTCAGACCCAAGCCCAAAGGTCATTAATAATTAACAAAAGTAATTAAACTTCATTTTTCATTGAGAAACGGATCTCAAAACAGCTTCTATCTCACAACTCGACACGAAAAACTTCTTATCCTAATACGAGAATGAACAAGAATATGTTGACTTTGCCCACATGACAAGCTTCTGGTGTTGAACAACAGACAGACACCAGAAAGCAGGACTACAACAGGATTTGCTCTTTATGGCTATTAAATTCCATATCTTTATCTTTAATTACTACCACATCATCTATACCTTAACCTCAAACATAACATAACCAATGTCATTACCAACAAAACCCCATGCATCACATAAACCTAATTTGATGCTCCCTCAGAAAAATATATAGTCACGAATTTTCTTATCCTCAACAGTCAGTTCTAGGCCAAAAACCATACCCCAAAATGCCAAATTCAACTTTTTTCGGGTTCCCTTTCTGGTCATCAACTGAAGACCAAGGTCCCACGAGTTACAACTCATATGATTTAGTGATTTTTAACACAGACATATACACTACATGCATGCAAATGTTACCTTATTTTAAACCGTTTATCATATGTTGATTTAAGAAGTGATTGTACAACTTAGGCACCAAAGCCACAAAAAACCACACCAAATTCTACTTGTACATATTAGTCAAGCAAGTTAGTTGGATGGCTTACTGTACTGGCCACACAGGAAAACATCTGAATTCTCGACAATGGTCTACAAAACCCACAAAGTACAGACCAGAAAGCTGAATTCTTGAGGGTTTTCTACAAAACCATGTGACAATTCTACTCAATTCCCATACTCCGAACTAAAATCCTGAGCTCCAATCCATCCCCCAAAAAAGTTCAAAGTTCAAGAACACACACGAACAATTTTGCTTACACACCACACAAAGAATTTCATCTTCAACAAAAGATTTTAGGGTAATTTTTCTGGGATTTTTGAAATTCGTGATCGGAAACAACTAGACACCACCAAAGAAATCCATTTAACACTCCTACCGACCAAGACTCATGCTCATGCGCAAATCAATCAAGGTTTTTCTGCAACAAACCTTAATCGATTCGATCAGGGCCTCATTCCTGGCTCCGCTGAGTGTATACCCCGGCGGAGGGTACGGAAAGCACCGAGACATTATCTTCCAGATCGAATCAAAGATTTGTCCAGAAAAAATGGATAGGGACTAAATAACCGGCGGCAAATTAAGTAATTGTCCTAAAGATCGAAATTTTTTCCGGCAGGTCGGCCGATCTAGACAATCGAGAACCCAAAAAAATAACTTGGAAGTTGGAACCCTAGTTTCAATTTAGGTGTCCCTTCGGAAAATGCTAGAACGATTGGATCTTGATGTAGGGCTCAAATATATAGCCCAGGGAGGAAGAGTGTAATTTTCACGTGTGACGCGTGCACGTTACCGAGTCCATCTGGACCGTTGGATTACTTAGAGATAATTGGGAACGAACTACCTCAAATCCTATTGGCCATAATTATCCAAGTGCAGTGCACCATAGCACATTGCAAACCATGGATTGACCGACCCTACATCACTTTCTACGCTTTTGCTCCTCTAGTCCTTTGTTTTGTTAGTATTTTCATTTCTGACTTAGGAGTTGCAATTAATATCATTGAATAACTATTAGCATTGTGAATATTTTGGAATAAGTATTTAAAAAATCTGTCACATTTTTTGAAATTGTAATTTAAACAAACATTTCTATATTGGCAAATAACATCAAGACTTTTTTTTTTTTTTACAAATTGAAGCATTGAACATAAAATCGAACCAATTTTGCCAATGTGTTGTTTTCGAAGATGTGACGTTGTAGTTCAAATATTACAACTAAAAAATCAAAGAACTGGATTATAACTTATTATTTTATTGAATATTGCCCTCCTAGAAACAAAATTCCTCAGCCCAGCTATATGATTTGGATAAGTAGTCATATGAGGTAGAGTGTACAAGTTGAGTGGAAAATGGTAAGGAAGAGCAAAATCGGATCGTAATCGAAAAATCGAAACAATTTGAGGGGTTCGGTACGATTTCTTGCCTATATGAGATTCCACGGGCGGATGGACATATAATGTAAGGGGGGCCACAGTCCCCCCTAATTTTTTTATTTTTTTACTAAGTGTATATGTAATATATTAGATTACTAGTATAAGTCCCGTGCAATGCACGGATAAGAGATATTTATTAATATTTATAGTTAAAAATTCTTATTATATTTTACCAAAAAAAATTCTTATTAAATAATATTTATAAATGTAAAATATGGAATCAATATGTAATACAATTTACTTATATTAATTTATTGAAAGTGTTATATAAAGTCTAAATTGTGCAAAATTACATAAAAATGTCTATTTAAAATTAGTATACAACCCGTGTGGTGCACATAACTGATAATAAATTACATTATATTCGTTTCAAAATAAGTACCATTCCAAAATTTTGATTCAGAAAATCGATTTGACTATATCACTACAAGAAAATGATGAAATTCCAACAGAAATATATTCCAATAGAATTCCAACGAAAATTCCAATGGATATTTCAATATTATTATTTCCGTTGGAATTATTCCAACGGAAATTCTTACAAAAATATTCCGTTGGAATGAGTTTTCCATTGGAATTTCTGTTGAATTTTGACGATTCCAACGGTAGATTTTCCAACGGTGGTGGAAATAAAAATTCCAACGAAAATTACATATTCCAACGGAAATTCCTACGGTCAAAAGCCGTTGGAAATATAGCCATTGGAATCATCAAATTCCATCTAAAATTCCAATGAAAAATACATTCCAACGGAATATTTTCGTTGGAATTTCCGTTGGAAAACTATACCATTGGAATATCCGTTGGAATTTCCATTGGAATATATTACCATAGGATTTTTCGTTGGAATATAACCATTTTTCTTGTAGTGTATGTGATTCCATAAAATAGTTATTTTGGTAAAATGTTATCATATATTTAACAGTCTATGTGAATAATAAGTATAAATATAAAATTTATATTGTTTCATTACTTCAAATAATTTATTATTGTATAAACTATTAAAATAAAAAAATTAAGGAGTTGAGTAATTTATTAAATTATAAATTATTGACTATTTCGTTTACGTCCAAGTTAATATTGACCCGTAAGTTATATAATTGACTATTTCGTTTACGTCCAAGTAAATATTGACCCGTAAGTTATGAATAATTATTTTTTATTTTTAAATTTAAATAAAAATCTTTTTATTTTTTTGTAATATATTATATATTAAATTTAAACCATGTAACTAATAAAGGTAATAGCTGCAAGTTTTGTCAATATATTATATTCCAAATTTAAATCATGCAACTAATAAAGGCAATAGCCGCAATATCTGACCAAAATGATTCTCTACATTAATTTAGGCGGGATTTTTTCAAATTTTGACAAAAAATATTATTCAAATAGTTTAGGCGGGAAACCAAATGTTATTTTACCTCTTTTTAATAAAAACAGATTTAGATTAAATTAAGTTTATACGTGTGGAGTGAAAAACAATAAACATAAGTAAAAAGATCTCTATATGATTTGTATAATGGTGAACCGTTGGCTTTTTATTTATATGTATATAAAAAGATGTACATTCCAAATAATTAAGTTTAGTTATCGCGAAGTCCTCTTCATCGTTTTTAGGGTAGATTTATTATATTTATATGGATAATATATCCAGCATAATTGTATTTTTAAAGATAATAAATCGTTGAAAACATAATATGGAATATATACCTTTATCATTAGTCTCGACCAATTTGATTACTTTATCTGTATAACTTTGAAATGAACTCTTTACAATGTATTTGTTTTTTTTTTAATTATTATTTAAGTTGTATATATTGCATAACTATATGTTAAAAAAATAATATTTTTCTATTGAAATATGCGATTTATATATATGTATATAAAAACTTATAAATTAATTTTTCATTAAAGATTAAATTTTGTATTTTTATTTTTTATTATAGCATTCCCATTTAAAAAATTGTTACCATGATTAGTGTAAAAAGTTTAACAAAATAATTGTCACGTGTAAAAAGATTAATAAAAAAATAAGGTTTTCATGATAATGGATTTGTATATATCTAAATCATCTTTTCCTGCAATACCACAACATCCGTCCACAGAAACGTGTTCATAAGAGAAGAATTAACTCAATAACTGAATTTAACCAAATAAATTACAAACTCATTTCTTTTTTTCACGGCTAATTATCTTAAACAATTACTCATTTGATGGATGATACCATAATTTAAACTCGGCTTGATTACCTAAAAAACAGGAAATAAAAAACAGATCGGTAGACATATGAAAATGTGATTTGTAGATAGGTGAGTTTAGTCAAACAAAATCTTTTATATATATATAAATGAAATCCAAATCCCAAAAAAACTGAAAACGTGCATGCATGGAATAAAAACAATTCAAATACCTGCATGAAAAATTTCAAATTAAATTGTAGGGGGGAAAACAACTTTTAAGCGGGAAATTGAAATATTTTTTCAAACATTTTTTTTTTCTGTATTTTATAGTAATAGATGTCTGTTTAATTATTATTGTCCCCCAAGCCTCATTAACCAATTAATATATGTGAATTAACACTCCTATTAGATATATATTTAAAATATAAGCAATGAAGCCCATTTACCTCTCATCTATTAGTGTATTATATTATATTAGTTCTTTATTAACAATAAAACTAATAAACTATTCTAATTAAAATAAACAACAACCTCAAGTCCAAAAACAGAGAAACAGAGACGCACAACAGCAAAATGGTAAAAAAAGTAGTACAAGTTCACAGCAACAACAAGGATCATGCATCCAATTTCTTGATTCTTCCGAGTATTTTGATCATTCTTTTATATTTGTGAGTACTTTAATTTATACTCATGTTCATAATTTAATTTATTTATCATTTTTAGGAACTTAGGGTTTAAAGCCATCACTCAAGAACAAATGGATCATATACAGGTTTATACCATTTTTTTAATCATGAATCATATATAGACTTATACTATTTTATAAATATTATTTTTTATTATTTTTAGGAGATGAAAAATTCATCAAGAATAGACTCGTTTTTCAAAAGAAAACATGATTAGATTGAGGAAGATAATGGAGGACCACCAACTGTTGAGAAAGTTGTTAATCACATTGAAAAATCACCCAGAATTGAACAGGTCCCAGAGTTACATATGTCAATATCAAGTTATCTCGTTGATAAAATTGACGAAGTTCGACGAGTTTATATTAGTTGCGGCCCTTATTAATACAAAGGAGAATATCCTTCGAGTGGGTCTGTGAAGTATTCTCGTCGTTTTCAAGCGTCGTGGTTCAAGATATTTCCGTCCTGATTAGAATATTCCCCTACGAGTGAAGCTGCATTTTGTTTCCCTTGCTATTTATTCAACAATTCACAGTTAGAATACTTTTATTGTTGATGGGTTTAGAAACTGGAAAAAAGTACGGAATGAAAAAGACTGCATTTCTAAATCACATTGGAAAAAATCATAATTCATTGCACCAAATTGCTGAGAAATCAAGTGGGAACCTAATGAATCAAACACAACATGTTCGACCACTTATTGAAAAACAATGTTCTGAACAAGTTGCAAAAAATAGATTACGGCTTGAAGTTTAATTGTTTCTGCCCGATATCTTGCAAGTCAGAGTTTGACTTTTAGAGATCACTAGTATTCGATCTTGTGCACATGCACAGAGGAAAATAAATAATTATATATTATATGTACGTATATGATATTTAAAAATTTAAATTAGATAAAGTGTGTATTACATATTACAATTTTGAGTATGTAAATGTATAATATAAATATAAATTATTTAACACTCATATAAATCAGTTTTTTTTTTTTTTTTAACTATAAGACATAATAGGAATATTAACTGTAAAATAATTTCATATTGCATATTCAGAAAATTTAAAATTTTGTAAAATTGTTCAATCACATATGGATTCAGGTACGCTTCTGCTATTCAGTTTCGATTTTCAATTATTCAATACGAAAGTTCCTGGATTAAAGCGATGGTTTTCGCCTAAAGTTAATTCGAACAATATGTATCAGAGCCTTTTGTATTGGATTTTGGGGAATCAAATTTAATCCATATGATTTGGTATATTGTGCGAATTTTCGGATTGATCTGTTGTGATTTTGTAATATATATTTTTTTCGGCCTCGCTGGTTGAATCGAATGGCTATATTTAAAGCCATAAGGATAGGCTCTTACGTTTTGGATTCAGATGCAATATTTGTTTGAATAGTTCTGCGAATTGCATATGGGTT